TAAACGTGACGTGGCAATTATGAGGCTGGTTTTGCGTAATTATGTTTACTGCCCGTCCTCTGGATTGGATAGAACTATTTTGAGCCTCGAACACTATGGGCTGGTTTTCCACTCCAGCCGGTATGACTTTTCCAAGTACGTTAACGCCAACAATGCTGTGTCAACCCTTATTGAATTGTTTTGTCGCTACTGAGTGCTCCTGAGGACATGTCTACTTCCTCAAGGTGGTGGTGTGGGCCGTCGGACGATGCACTATCTTGAAGAAGAAGGCACGATCGCCGGGCCAAGAGCTTTATTAGCCTGACGTTTCGGATTCCTGCTCGAATCCATCATCAGAGACATGGACCAGTGCATGGACCACCCTTATCTGTTTATGTCTCTGAAGATGGATTCGACCAGGAATCCGAAACGTCAGGCTAATAAAGCTCTTGTCCCGGCGATCGTGTCTTCTTCGAGACTGCTTCCTGGAACTCGTATCTTCGCTTCTATTGGCGATTCACTATCTTGACCAAATAGGCTCAGGCCTTTTCCCCCCTTTGGAGATAGCAGTTGTTTTGCGTTCGCTCAATCACTTTCATGTGTTGCAGGACCTTCCCCACTAATGTTATTGTTCGATTAGGTAGGGCAAGCTATACATCGGCGGCCTCCCGAAAGACCTGTGGTCAGTTTTGATTTTTTGACTTGGGTTTGTTTTGAGCGTCATTTGTCTTTTGGCCGCCATGTTCCCACCAGCTGCTTATATATGTTGTCGGAACGATTATTTGTTTGTCTACTCTCTTGTGCTTGGCTGCTGCCAAAGCAGGGTTTGTGCTGGTCCATTCTAGACTTAAATAAGCCGTTGTCCTGATAATAGAGAAGCCTTTGCATCAAACCTCTCTTCTCAGTTACTATTGTGTCATTTAAGTCAGTGTTCTGTTAGTGGGTCTGGGGTTCGGCCCTTCAGTGGGACCCCCAACGTTCTCTATGCGGTTTCTGGTATATGAACTCCAGAGAATAAACAAGTGAATAATTTCGGAAATTACGCAGCGCAGGACATAGAGTTAAGCCGCCGGAACCGAAATATATATAAATATGTCATGTTCATTTCTACCGAACAAGACGAGTTCATGGGCCGAAGTATATTTGGACGGACTTTTTCAAAAGCTTTCTTGTTTCCATCGTCAGAGCAGTTTGTTGGTTCCTCCTGTTGGCCTTGATGCCTGCCGGGTGCTATATCCTTGCTCGACGCACGAGCTATGACCTGTCCGTTCGCTGATGATTAGTGTTCACCTCTTCGAGATTGACCGCTGCTGTGCTCGCATCACCTTTGTCCTCTTTTTGTAGCCGTCGTAATTGTTGGCGAGTCAGCGTGCTTGCTGGCCTGCCCCACGTCGGCCAGCTGACTGATCAGTTATTGGTGCTCGTGTGAGGTGCGGTAGTGTTCTCCCCCAGCTGGCTCCTCTCCTTTTTTCCGCCGGTGTTAGCTGTCGGTCATACGGGATTTTGCTCGGCTGTTTCAGTGGCTTTGTCCGTATTGATTCGAGCCTTTTGCGTAGTGCCTTGTAGGCGGGATGCAGTCCTATGACCACCGAGAACCAACTTTCTAGCATCAGTCTGACCATTTTTTCATTGAGTCGGCTGATTGCTCTCGCTTAATCAAAGGAGCAATTGTGGTTCGCCTATTTTACGTGACCAGAAGCCATAGACGGATGCAGCTGTGTCAGAATCCTCTTACAGCACGTTCAAATCCACTTCCCCGACGACAGTGGGAGGAAGGAGGAGAAGATTAGGTACCTGCATGTCTTATTTAAGGCCATAAGGAGGTCCATATTTCCGTATACGACTCTAATTTTCTATTACTAGCCGCAGATGGATATGCCTGTTGCGCGAGACATAATTTGAACGCCACACTTCCCGCCGTTAGCACGAGATTCGGTTGACCAATGGCCGATGTACGCCTAAATGCGGGATTGTGTTCTGGAGAAGATGGGTAAACAGTCAGCATGCCCACTGTCTTTTCGCCTACGAGCAGGTTAGTGTTCACGCATCCTCGCCCGAAGTGGTTTGCCGATCTTCAAATGTGTTTTTTGACAGCTCTTAGGACTGCTTACAGAGTTCGACCAGCGCGACCCACGACGTCTGTCCTCACCTCAGTAGCGGTGTGCACGAATTTGCCTATAATGAAGCGAACTTTCTTTGCGCCTATCTCAATGCCTCATGCCTATCGTGCTGCGGTGGAATGGCAGTCAGGGCGATGTGGCGAAAACTAAACAACCTGTCTACGCGTGCCACGCACGACCCCTTCTCGTTCTGTGCTGGCTGAGGCGTGTCCTCCACTCACTAGTTCATTTTCTTCCGGCACGCCAGTGGATTAACCAGTGCGTGTGGCACACGTAAAGACGAAGGGCGGGGGGCGGGGTCGACTACCCGCGGCCATCTCCGGGTGTCGTGATCACAAGGGTTGCTGAAGGAGAGTGACCACACTCTGTCTGGGTGATACGAGCCGTGCAGCAGTCGTGTGTGTGATCACTTTGTAGGGGTTTTGTTATGTTCTCCGTCTTACTGCACCTGAAATATATGCTAAGACCGCAGTTGGTCACAGAAGACTTCCTGAAATTCCGAAAAGTGTTTTGCCGATCCTAGATGTCATGACAGTTTCACGAGGAGCTCGATAGTCGCTCTTTTTACACGTCGCGCAGACAGTGTTTACACCAAGTTGATTCAGAGTAAAAACTGTTGCCAAATAACCTGGCGTTAAAAGAAATGCATTTGTGAATTTTCATTCTCCCGTTGCGAAAATGGCGAAGTTGGCATATTTCTGATGCACAACTGATTGTGAGGCACTAGCACCGTGAATCGTCGAGCAAGCGCCTCCCATCAGCAGGGTAGTTGTTTCCACAAACGAAAGCCGTAAGAGGGTGATTGGAATGTGCACGCTACCGTAGCCCCCAACTGCAAACCTCCAGCAGCTGATGTTTGTATGGATGAGAGGGTACTCGTGGCAGCTTACTGCCTTATATTCCCGCTCTCACTGCCGCTGTAAACGGAACGAGATCGTTACGGGAACGAGGGTGAACCAAGCCGTGAGAAGCGTAGCGACTAGCGGCGCACCCTCTAGCTGATGTTCGCGGACCAGTCGCCATCTCACGCGTTCAGCGTCTTCCTCGCACGCGGGCACCATCGCGCACTTGCAAGCACGCTTAGCCAATCACTAACGCGTACGCAGTAACGATCAACCCTACGACGTTTACGCGGTCACTTGCTCTCACCCGCCTATCGCCTCGCGCGCAGACATTGACCTTGTTAGCGCACTCGTGGACCGCTCACGATCTGTCAAATCACCAACCTCTTGTTTTCGTGCCTAGTAAATTCATCCTGGAGTCTTTACTCTCCCACCCCTCAGCGCGCCCTTCCGTGAATTTTGATAGCTAGGATGCACTTTTTACTTTTGCCTCCAAACGGTAGTTGTTGCGACGGACGTAACACCTACGTTATTTCTGGGTATTTTCTACCCGTTTCGCAGGGACCTCTCCATTCGTGTCTTTTGGAAAGTTTAAGTCCTTTTTCATACCTAGGTGACTCGCCCTGGCCTTTCTTTGGTTTTAGTTGTTTCATTACAATGGACACGGAGTTGCAGTCTCTGAAGGGGACTCTGGCGGAGGTAGATCAGCTGCTGGAATTATCTCAGGACAATTCTGCTGATCTCTTGAGTCTGAGGAAAGATCTGGCGCATCTCATTGAGCTCAAAGAGGCCGATCTCTTGGAGCGCAGTAAACAAACCGCCCTGGCAGCAGTAGCCTCTGCTCTGGGGAGCCTATCAGTTCCGGAACCTGAAAATGATGCTACCCCTTCGTCACAGGCCGTCGATCCTTCTACCGTCAGTCCTCCAGAAGAGGAACTTGTGGGCACCAAGTGTTCCCTGCCCGGGTGGACATCCAGAGGCTACTTTGTGCACCGAAATGCAGTGATTGCCGAAGTGCTCAATGAGGGCAGCCTGACCTCCCGACGTGTTCGCCTCTTCTTCACTAATCCCACCCGGCTGAGTGAGGTCCCCTGCGCCGAATTTCTAGACACCGGCGCATGCTCCCGTGGCTCCCGTTGTCGACAGAGTCATGGCGAGGTGGCTTCTATTGAGGTACTTTGCCCTCAGGACTGTGCCAGTGTAGCTCATGTCAGCTCCCCATTCTGTGTGGTGGATTGATGGATGCCTTCTGAATCTCGCTTTGTAGGATTTGCAGGCCTGGGAAGAACCGGATCCAGTCAGTTACCTCCGTGAGGGTCAGCTCTGCCTGGCACTCGGATGCGACAACCCATCCTTTTCATCAGTCTGGCACCACGCGCGCATCCAGCACACAGATGTCGATGAGGGCACCTGTGTGGTGCAATGGTGTGCTGTGCCCATCCCCGCCCCAACGACCTCTTCGCATCGTCGGTCAGGCCTGGTTCGGCCTGCCAGCTATTCTCTCTTGGATGCCAGTGTGTCTAGTTTGCCCTTATCTCACGTTCATCCCATCAGCTCTGAGGATAGCGGAGAGGCGACTGAGGATCCATCATGCCTAGTCGATTCTGGTGAGGAGAATGCAGATCTCTCGGAATCGTCGGACTCCGATGACGAGACCTTATCTGACGCTGGGTCTCCGAGTTCAGGTGCTGAACTAACGTCGAAGGTGTCCGTTTTTTTGATGGTCTCATTTTATCGTGCCCATAATTGTGTTCTACTACTGGCCTCTTTTTCATTCGGTTTCGTTGCCAACTCTCGGAAACGGCATTCATCTGTGCCTGCTCTCCGTCCGAGGCATCCCAACCAGCCACCAGGTGACTTGCCTTTTTGGTTGTGCCTCGGATCGCACTTGTCCGTAAACCGTCCTCCGTGGGATACTGCTTGTTACGGTCTGTCTAGATTAGCTGGTGAAGGACCCCCTAGGTCTTGGTCTTATTCAGAAGGAATCCCCGCTCAATATGCGGACGTAATTTGCACTGTCCTGACACGTTTGTGGCTGACTAGTTTATTACTCACTTCACTTCGTTTGGTGTCTGGGGGGGGGGATCCGTAAGGAACCGCACCAAGACCTCATTTTCTAGCGTCTGCTTATCAGTCGAAGATCGCGATAGCCACTGGTGCACAACCACTTCTCAGGCCCGACCTGAGGCGTCCTTTGTCCAACCGGACCGAGACAGGCGTCACCGTCTGGCGTGGCCTGTCACCCCTTGGGGGCCTCGGGATGATGCAGCCCCCGACTCAACTCATGGGCTAGCCAATCACATGCCCAACATGCGGACATGTCAGACCCGCACAAACAGTGCACGGCTACTCACGTGTTGCCGAACAGACGTCCCGATATGACCCACAAGCCAACTGTCAACTCACGGTAACCTGCCCTGTGTACAAAACAAAACCGCTTTCACGGAGGACTTCTGTCATTTGACGGAACGGACTTATTGTGTGCGGTCGGAGTTGATTTGATACTTTTGTGTCCCATAATACTACCCAATCGTGCCTGAAAACAACCTCCAGTCAGTTTGTACGTGTTAACTTTCCAGCTCCATCCTACCAATCGTGCCTTGAGTAATATTTGTCGGTAGAGAAAGTCAATTAGTCTTTCTCAAGAAAATTGGTACAGCCCGCCTGGGATTTTTGGTTGTAATCGGCCTCTTCAATCGGTTGGATTTTTTAAGCACATATTACTGCGTTAAAAGTGCATTAGGTCTTATGCTGCTCTTTAAAGCAATTCGCCCTCACATATCCTTGCGGGTTATAGTTTGATTTCTGTATTTACTCCCCGACAGCCACGAATCAGCAAAGGTCTCAGACATTTTCTGTAGTCCAAATTCTTACAATCGGAGTATTGTATTTTCTAAAGTGTGGACTCTTGCCAAGATTTGATTTCCAAATGAATTATTGTACAAGGTGGATTTTTTGACTACCCATTCTAGGAACTAATGATGGGTTTTATGCAAGCCCAGGGAATCATTGAAAAATAAGTCAGATGTGATTGTGAAGCCCCACCAGAAGTAAATAAACCCCAGCCACCTATAATACGGAACCAGTGGTAATAGGGATTTCTACAGGTGGGGCCTGGGAACGCACGGGCGAAGAGGTCAAGTAGTTGTATGCAAATGAAAAGCCATTGGGAATGCGTGGTTGTACTTTGAGTGGTTTAAAAATAGTTGCCCTAACCACAGCCCCAAACCCCAACAGTATTGTGTCCATCAGGTGGGGCTACATAACCCCATCTTACCATAAAATATGTGTGTGGGGATTTCTCCCGTGACGGGTATGATAGCATTTCCAGCTTTAACCGTTCCATAGCTATTGGCACCTACTACGTATTTGGAGTACTGGCTTTCCATGATCATCTGTAACACAAATTCTAGTGTTGCCAGTGGAGGCGGTTCATGACCAGTGCGTTTTTTGAAATCTTATACCTATTTGCGCCTTTGCTATCCTTTCAGAAATCAGACTCCTCGAGTGTTGTCTTTAGTCCGGGCGGCGTTCTCGTGCACCCTGTTGAGTATCCAATGGTTGTACCCACTGACGACGACGACAACGCCGATCAGGAGCCGCTGGGCACATGGGAAGTGCACACCCGCGGCGTCGGATCTCGCCTTCTGCGCCAGATGGGCTACACTGGCCGGGGCGGCCTTGGTCGTCTTGGTGATGGCCGACGCCAGCCCGTCAGCTCCGATGTCACTCTGCATTGCATAGTCGATCTCGGCGGGGTCGCACGACCCTCGCTGGACCGTCTTGTGCAACTGCGTCGCGGCAAGCGACCGGTGAGGAATCGCCGTCACCGGCAGCGCTGCAGGGACTCTGGCACGACGACTGCAGCTGGCGGCTTTCGTCAAGCTGCTCGTCTTCTTGCTCCTTCCCCTACCGTCTTCGACTACCTCAACAACAAAGTCCTTGCTGCATCCAGCTCGACCCACCTACCCGCCCCGAAGACGCCTACCATCTGTGGCAAGTCGAGGAAACAACTGAACATTGAACACTATAATATTCAGGTTCGTCATCGTATGCGACGTATGTGCTGTTACTGTTGTTTGAGATCTGCAGACACGCAGCTGTCGGGCTGTGTTGAGTTCGCATGAGCCCATGACTACTGTCCTACATACGCGTTGTGGTCGGCGTAGGACTTCACGCCGCATCGGTAACCGCGCCCAGTTACATTACCCGTTAGTTGGCATGCTCGGACAGTCGACTAGTGCATGGGAGAGGGAAGAGACAAAGAGTGCGAACTCGTCTTCACGCTATATCTGCCCATTCCTTACCATGTTAAGTCTGACGCGCTTGAGTATCATGGCACGCTAAGGGTCATGGCTTAGAACGCTGCCAACAGAGGCGTCCTCTTAGTGCGAACATTGTGGCACTCATTGATACAGGATCTAAGCCACCCTCATGGAAGTCCGGATCATCTGTAATGGGACTATGGCTGGTGTGTGGCACGTGTAAACGGCCCGCTTAGTTTTGTCAGCCTCACCTCCGGTCGTCTTGGCACTGTCTTGCCATCGCAGCAAGGTGGGTGCAACAGATGTGGTGCAAGTAGGGACCGGTATAAACTAATTCACGAGTCGCCGAGGGTGCACCCGCAGCGGTGATTATGCGACGGATTGCAAGCTTAAAAGACCGATGTACACCCTTCCTCTGAGTGCGACACCTAAAGAAGACGTAGTTTCCTCCAATAGAAGTACAAAAATCGCGAACATTTCCATGGAACGATTTAGAAGACCAGTAGCGACCATACGTTTGCTTTCTATGACATTCTCGTTAGACCAGTACACTTATTTAAAACGGGGTCAAGTAAAATGTGTGAATGCCGAGAGAACTCAGGTGAGATGGGAGTGAAATGTGTTTGGAAAAATCATGACAGGGAGGAGGAGGAGGAGGAGGATGTGAAACATTGCACGCCGTTAGTCGACCATTGGCCATGGTAGATGCAGAGCCCGAGCCTGGCTTTTCTGTGCGCACAAGACCGGTTTACGCATCCTGATGGCAGCTGCTTCTGCTGTCCCTAGTAGACTTTGGCTCAGTTGCCTAGGGCGATTTGGTGGGACCTTATAAATCGCATGGAAGGCTTCGTTGGAGTCCACAGGATCCCCGGAATCAATTATATCTGCGAGAATGGCGCTGCTTATGTCTTTCATTTCACCTTCTCAGCCATAACAGGATAGGCGCCGACTCATACGACCCATGTAACCTGTTCCACAGGAGAAAGTAAGGGGGTGGTCTGAGCTGGTAATCTATCCTTACCTTCTCTGTGTAAAATAGGGTTGGTCGAGAATAGTGCTCGAACTCGTGCTGCTCGAAAGGTTCGTAAAACAGCTGGCTCAAGGGACCATCTCAGGAATTCGCTTTCCGCGTCCCCTTGAAGGGTGTGTTCGAGGAACAGTGTTTTCTTTTCCCCTGTGAATGTCATCGGTGTTTCTGCTCATACGCTGATTTCCCTCGCAGTAAGTCCGTTAGGATACCCGTTCTCATGGAGCAGTTCGTTGATTTTAACAAGTTGCTTGTGGATGTTCTCCCCTGAACATCTTTTTCTAGCTTTTGCACCAAACAGCTGATTAGCTTGCGCTGTTTCGTTTTAAGAGTGCATAGAGTTTTGTGTCATCGACTGTTGATTGGCCATCGCCCCATAATTTTCGCTTGTTCAGTTGTTCCTATTATCTCTGACGACGGACCCCTACTCGAGCTCGAAAGCTCAGAAAAAACGGACTGTTTCGGTGCTCGGCCAGTCCTCTTTTAAATTTACCTGCATTTAAACAAAACATATGTTGGCAAGTCTCTTTTAAAAGTTCGCTTCATTAGCGGCATGTCAGACGAGCCACCAATAAGCAAGTTGGGCCCTCTTCATCGTTATCATCCTCATCCCCGCTTCTCCCTCCTCTTCCTCGACTGATCCGATTATCTTACGGTTCGCCCAGTGCATCCCCGCCCGTTTGCGAAATATGCAGTTTAATTAAGGGTGTGGAACATACGTCCAGTATTACCGGCACGTCATTGTCCCTGCAGAGCGAATGGGAAGGTTTTGGCATTTCTTTGCTCTGTCAGGTGACTGTTACGCCATTTTGACAGCAGGTTTGCAGGTCGCGTATGACCTTGCAGTTTTGTTTTTCCCAAATCTCTGACTCTGTGCCCTGGAGGAAGAAAGAGTGGGGGGAGGGTAGTTCGAAAGGCTCGGGATAAGAGTTTACTCCTCCTCCCCTTGACCAAAAACGGACTAGGCTTCACCCTGCACTTTCAGCCCACATTTGTTATCACGCTGGGTCAGTTGGTATGCCAACTGTTTTCACGATCCGGGAAGCCTTGGTCAGCTGATGGTATATTCTCTGTCAAGCGTAAACACCGTCCCCCTCCCTGTTCCTCCCGCCTGTCATCGCTTTCAAGTCTCTCTCACCTAACTGTGAAAGTCTAAGCGTACTTAGCGTTTTCTACGCAATTCCAGTGTGTGGGTTTCATTTATTGCCGAGTCCACCGAATGCCATGTCGCAATGAGCGCGGTCAAGTCGCTGACAATCACTTCGAGCACCACCACTGCCTAGGAATTTGAGTCTCGGTGCCTTAAAGAAAAACTGAACAGAAATATTCTCGCCGTACAGTCGCTGAAATCTGTCTAAGGTATGTATACACTTCCGGAACCCTCTGTCGTCGGTGGGTCAACCTCTCTTTATCAATATCCTGACATTTCGACTGTCGTAATCGAAGATGTCCACCATGTGCTCCACAACAGATCGAAAGCAGAGACGGTGACTTACGCCTGAATTATTTCATGATGATAGTAGTCTTGCTCAGAATCTACCGCACTCTCCCCTCCCCCTTCCACCCCTGAGCCCGGTGTTGAGACATAGTCAAAAGACCGGGGTGGGGGAGGACGCAGGTGGCTAGCGCGGCCGGAGCCGCCCCTAGACGTGCCGCCACACCTGCCTCGTATTTCACTAAGTGAGGGTGCCAAAAGGCTCATTAGCAAAGAGCCATTGCAACCCATCTTGTAGACCACCCGTCGTCCACTCCACACAAATGCACACTGAGAGGACCAAATTATCCCTCCACGACTTTTAGCGCCCCGTGATAGCTTCAAGTACGCCAGATTGTTTATAGTGAGAGAAAGGCGTTGAGCCGTCGACCTCACTCTATTCTTATCACTATCGCACTTATTACTTGAAATGACGTGCTGGGGAGAGGGAAGGATAGGGCTCTCTTGACTGGTACTATTTCCTTCCCGATCTGTTTTTACGATCTGCAATAAACCTGTTGTGATCAATCCTCCTGACGTGAGAACAGTCTAGTTTTGTGGGATCTCGAGCTGCGCGCCTACAAGCCTGGTGCATACCACGCAGGGATCGGCTCGTGTGTTACACGCGTCCACTTCGGCCGCCTTGCCATCAGAGCACTGTCTTGCAGCACGTAAGTCATCGGCGTCGCTTACGCCGATCAAACTGTTTAACGTGTCAGGAGAGCTTTTAACTCCTGATATGTCTGGATACTCTTGAAGAGGACGCTTAAAGATGCTGGGAGAAGTTGTCAAGCCGAATCCACCTCTTCCAACTAGAGCGAATGTAGGGATGACTTAAAGCTCCTCTCAGGGTCAAAACCGAGTCTCAGCCTGTTCTTTTTTCTTAATGGGCCTTAAACCAATTACATGATACAGGGTGGACCTTTATTTTGTCAGATAATATGAACACTGCTGTCCTCTCCCCTCAGACTGTGAGCTCTCAATTGGCGATAGTCCCGAACAGACGCATACATTCAGGGTAATTAGGAGATCTTGAGGTGGCATAGGTTTTCAGTCCTCAGTAGGAATTTCAGCCGCTCTTAGCGGAGCTGGTGTGTCCCCTTTCCCAGGCTTGTCAGCATCATCATCATCCTTCCACCTATCGTATGTTTCGGGGTTAAAAGATACCATACTGGCAGCACAGGTGCTAGCCAAAAGCTCAGACACGCGTGTTTCGTCAATTTTCTGCCGCCGCATGACACATCTGCGGGGGGGTTCGGCTCATCAGTGGGTCTCCCAGCACCCCCCTGCGCTTTCTGGTAGACACTCCAGTTTAGAAATTGTTTCTTCCTTAATTTCCTCAGAAATTTCGGTCTGCGCCTATAGACCTTAGTATACATTGGTCTACCTCAAATTCGCAGTTAATTTCTGAGGAAATTAAAAAGCAACATTTCCTGAACCAGAAATCAGACGGGGGATGCTGGGGGACCCACTGACGAGCGGAACCCCCCGCAGCTGTGTCATGCAGCGGCAGAATATTGACGAAACAGGCGTGTCTGAGCTTTTGGCTAGTACATGTGCTGCTAGTACGGTATCTTCTTACGCCAAAATATGCTATCTGCCTGTCAGCAGTTGATGACTATTACGCGGTTACCCGCTGTGGCTGATGGACTTCTGCCCAAATATTCATATATGAAATTTTGGTCTGCGCCTATAGGCCTTAGTATAAACTGATCTACTCTAAGTTGGCAGTAAATTTCTGAGGAAATAAAGCAGCAACAACCTGTCGGATGATTAAAATACACATCCCGAATCCTCAAGTTTCTGACGCAACATTTTATGCACTTTTCGTAGTTAAACCTGGCCCTACTTGGTACCCGTCATATTAACCATTTCCTTGTGCAGTGAACACCTGTCAGAGCTTATTTTAGGCTGCCGACCTTCGAATCTGACAATCTCATGAAGTTTCAACAACAATGTTGCTGCCTTTATTTTTTCCATTCCCCCATGCATTTGCTAATTCTGATCGGCTCATCCCTCACGTAAGTTTTATTTGCCAAGCAGGTGCGTTTTTTTCACTTTTTGATTGTTCTCTCTCTCCCCACCCCGTCTCTGGAACTCTAGCGTGAAATTACCCTAGTGGAGTCAGAGATTGCCCGCGCAGAAGAGTCTCTGAAGCGCAACCAGTCCCGTGATCGCCTAGCCGCGGCCTCCGCCAATCAGCGTTTACAGAGTCTCCAGGCCAAGTTGGCTTCTCTCAGAAACCATGAGCGGGCTCTCTCCCGGGAGACGGCCAAACAGAAGAACAAAGAGAAGCTGTGCGTCTTCTGAAGTTGGATTTCTCGCTTTGGAAAGACAAATGCAGGTGTAGGCAAACCTTCGAATCCAACTAGTGCTGTTTTGACCGTTTGTAAATAGCCAATCGGCAAATGTTGGGCCATGCTAGATCAGGTTTGTACTCGGACCTACTAACCGTGCTCGGGATTCGAGGACTATGGTGCAAAATACTTCCCCCTGGCAGTGCATTTGTCCACCTTCCCTGTGATATTATTTATGTATTGCCCGCTTTATCCCGAATTTTGGATTAATCTTCTGTTAGGATTTTAACCTGACGTACACATATATTCTGCTCGCCCTTCAGAGGAAATTTCCACTGTGTTGTTGATTTTCGAAATATATCTCTGTTAACCTCGTGCTCCAGGGATGCCTCCAGACTTGCCGATCTTCTATGTGTTGCCTTTTCGAATGTTCGGTTTGTGTTAGGGCGGTGGAGACCATTTTACGCATTATTAAAGTACGTAGGTACCGCATTTCCTAAGATGTTAGCCAAAATTCCAATGTGTTTTCGATTAGAAGGGATTTATTCGGCGGGTTTGTAATATCCTTTACCATGCACCATTATCAAAAGATATTCTAGTTAAGCCAGAATGTGGGTTTTTGAATGCACTTGCCTCAGGCCGTCTGCGAAACCGACTGTCGATTAAAAAAATGGTTACTTGAGTAATATGGATTTCACCAACTGATTCATGGCGCCCGCGCAACTTCAAGCATACTTTACGGGTGACCTGCATAGGAATATTCTTGTACCCATCTGGCAGAAAATTGCGCGCTATCCAAATTTTATACTCGAAAAGTTTTATCCCACGGCTTTAAAATGATATATATATATATATATATGTATATATATATATATAACATGAGTAGCTCGCTAAGAGTGCAACAGGCCAGACGCAGACAGCTGTTTCACGGTCGTTACCGATCATCAGTACGTCATAGGCCTTATGAAGTGAGGTATATAAGCATGTCAAGTGGGCGTTTGACCCTCACTGTTGTGGTTAGGATCTCACTCAATCCCATTTTGTTCGCCCGCCAGCTTGCTACTGGCGACAACGAACGCTGTGTCAGAGGACACATACCACGTATAAAACATGAGCAGCTCGCTAAGAGTGCAATAGGTAAGTGTCCTCTGACACAGCGTTCGTTGTTGCCAGTAGCAAGCTGGCGGGCGGACAGAATGGGATTGAGTGAGATCCTAACCACAACAGTGAGGGTCAAACGCCCACTTGACATGCATATATATATTAGTTTTCGTTAAGAGGCGAGGTTTCAGCCGCCGTTTCCGACAATGTCCACTGTATGTCTCACAGCAGGGTAGGCGCAGGAACGGTAGCCTTTCCATGAGTCAGTCTATAGTAACCGTAGACTTGCGAGGCGTCCATTGCACTCTCTCCTCCCTCACCTACCTGAGTCCGGTGCCGAGATAGAGTCGTGAAAACCGGATGCGCGATCGGGCGCAGTGGTTAACGAGGCTAGACAGCCCGCCTGCGCGTGTCGTCACAGACCTGGTACGCGCACTACGAACCGGGTTTTAACCAAAATAAGCATCGGATCCCAAAATAGTGGGAGAGCTATACTAAAGAGCGACCTGACCCTCCGTCCGGGCGGGGGCAGGTCGCGTTATACCGTCAGTTGACAGCCTTCCGAGTCACTACTTTAAGCGCACCGCGATAATTTAGCAAACGTATCGCGTTGTTTACAGTGAGGAATGCGATCTGAGTGCCGTGGGGGCGCAGTCTCCAGAGTTGCTCCCTTCCCCCCCCCCCCCCAGGCACCGGTCCACTGTCCGATCTGGTCAGCCGTCCGATGCGCGAATTGTACGCCAAATGACTGATAGCTAGGCGGCTCGTCTGCGCGTACCACACGCCTGACCTGGCCCCGCGGAACACCAGGTTGTCACGCAGTGGGGTGGGCCCTCGAATATCGCATGCGTTGGGGTACCACAAAGACCAAATTGTGAAGGAGCTGAATAGCACGCCTTGCACTTCCATGGGAGGTGCCTTTGGTGGGGTGGTGTGGTACAGTCTCGTGTGTGTTGGTGGGGCGATGTGTGACGATTGGGTTTCGTCTGCTTTGATTTACCCCAGGCCAACAGGCACGCCGATTTGGCTACAACTGCGCCGTCTACAAAGGGGACAAAGGCCGCACGAGCCCGCCAGAGGTCAAAGCAACAAAGTCAGCAACAGACAGACTTGTCGAAGTTCATGCGTCGGGCAGGGCTACAATACGAGGCCTACGAACTCGCCAGTTTCTCCTCTTTGTATTCTTCGGGGTATGTTGAGCGTGATAAGATATCTGGATCTCGAATTTTTGCACATGCAGTAGGTGGGCTAACTCATGAAATGCCATGAGTTAACACAAGAAAATCCCTATAAGGGGAAATCCGCCCAACCTGCATTCCCCAAAATCCTTCGGCAGTAAAAAACGACATTTCTTAAAAAGAAGACATAGTTGGGGTTTAAAATCAATATTCCCTAACGTAAAAATAATTGAAAAGTCAAATTGGCGAACACGTGTTTTCAGTAACTCTTCATCAGGCCAAAACGGTTACAATTAAGTTTAAGTTATGCGAGTTAATTTTCACTGAAAAGCTAAAATTTCAGAAAATGGCCATATTACAGGTCGCTTAAATAAGGCTGACTTTAAAAGTGCATAATAAAGGGGGACGCATGGGATGGTGAAAATAATGTAAAATAATGACTAATGCAAACGATCAGTACCTTGTTGATTGTCCATTTGCATCAATCACGGCTGTAAGTCTCCCAGGCATGGAGATAGTCAAGTTGTCTACAGTGGCCTGTTCAATGTGATTGTCCAGAATAAAATCAAGTTTTTCATGCATGGACAGTTTCTTATTCGCCTTATGCCAGAGTCTTTTGATAAGTGCGAAGAGATTTTCGGTGGGATTGAGATCTGGACTGTTGGCAGGACTGAAAATCGACTGGAGCCCACATGCGGACAGGCTGGCTGTTGTCTAAGAAGTCAAATTACGGTTAAATGCGTTACTAGATTCATACTTCTCTAGAACGATGGACAGGTGCATTGTCGTGTAAAATTATGGTATCCAGTCGGCGTCGGTAGATTTCGTTGTGGATGTATATCCAGTCAGGAATGGGCGCACACCGATCCATTGGCTTCCTGAATCTCCGTATGAGTGGCAAAGGTTACGAACAGGCAACCAACTACCAGGCCGAAATCGGCCAAGCTATAATAGCAGCGGGGGGGAAAAACGCCTCCGGGTCTTCCTGACTGTCATGATACCGGGTCCAGGTGGGGGAGGAGGGAAGAATGTGGTAGATGTTGCGAGAGTCTGCAGTCACTATAAGCGAATTAACGTGCAAGTCGCCGTTCCTTTGCTGTTTAGCGCATATTGGGCACCGTCGGTCACGATGGTCGAGCTGTAGATTTTCGTCATTCCGAGGTCAACCATTGGCGAGCTTCCGCGACTTGTGTCTCCCTTTGCAGCTGTCGTAGTTGCAGTGAAGTAGCTCAGTATATTTTAAGGGGTAGTGGGCAATGCCTTTGAAAACCCTACTGAATATGGTACATGCAATAACTAACTTTACATGAACACCGTACTAGAATGTCA